TAATAATTATATTAATAAAAATAAATGGTTATTAGGTATATTATATATATATTATATAAAATTGTATAAAATTTGTATAGTAATAAATAAAACTATTAATTTGTATAATTTATTTAAAAAAAACATTTGAATACAATATGACTACTATACTTATTGGGTACCTAACAGATGTAATAAATAAAAGTATCGGAGGACCAATAGGTGTAATAAAAAAATATCAGACACTTATCAGAGAGGAGAATATATTACTAATAGGTTCTTGATATTGAATAAAAAAATCAGGTACCTAATTGATATAAAAAAAATAGTTAAAAAATAGGTATCCGATATGTGTAATATATGTGATCGATAAGTTATCAATAAGTATCCGATATTAGAAAATAAGACAACACTTATTAGATATCCGATATATGTCAAAAAATATATATTAAGTACCTATCAGATACTATAATAGGTATCCGATAGGTGTCCAATATGTTAGATTTTAACTAATGTACTTAAGAGATTAGATTTTTTTATATCAGAAAAGTTGTAAAGAATTGACTTTAAATTGAATTCTGCTATAATAAATAATATTGGTATGTAATTTAAGCTTGATTCACATTCAAGAAAAAATCAGGATATTTATTAAATTCATATTCTTCACCATTTCTTTTGGACTTTTTTAATAGCAAGCAGAGTAGCATAAAATAAATCTAACTAAAATATATTGAAAATGATGTGGCAAAAGTAAAATGTTTGTCATTCGAGTGATGTTTAAAATGTTTTTTGCAAGTCTAACCCAAAATCAATATGCTTTTTGATAATTTTGGAGTGTAAAAATAGCAAATTGATTACTGTTAAGCCAGAACATCCATTTTTACCTTACTTAATTCAATTACAATTAATTGTGCCACATGATATAATTGTTTGCACTTTTCATGAAAAATTGTGGTAGATATCTTTAAATCTGAATTTATTAAACAATATAGATAATGTTTTTTATTTTATGTTGTTGAGAAAATATCAATCTGAAAAAAAAATTTTTGCCATTGAGACTAGTAATCAATTTTACAATAACTATTTATTAAGAAAACTGTATTCAAGTTTTTACAGGTTGGAGCTCTAATTGAGACTATGATAATTGTTCAGGTTAGTGAGTTAATAATAACACAATGTGGATTATGTTAGGAACAATATAAAGTAGGTTTTCCAGATGAAGTTAAAAAAAAAACTTCTGGAAATAGGAATTGAATTTAAAAGGAAAAATGTTGTGTTAGATTACAAAAATTAGAGTTGAACATGATGCAAATCTTTAATGATTGATTATAAAAATAAAAACTTTATTCAAATTAAAGCGCGTGGTTATTTCGATCACATCTTTTAGAAAACAGATCTAATTTCAGATTTGCAGATTTATAAATTACAAGTTCTATTAAGTTCTATAGAGCTTACAAGTTCCTTTAAGTTCTAGAACTTTAAATATATCATTTACATAAAATGTAAAAAGTATCATTTTCATATGCGAATACATTTTATATTTACCAAATCTGTAATACAATTTCTCTAATCACATTTAAACAGTATCTTTGAATAATTAAAATAGACATCCTTATGATCACATAATTATCATATGATGCATATTGAATAAAAACAAGTTATAAATGTTGTCTGCTGATGAGGAATTCTCTTTTAAAAATCGAATGTTTATTTCGTCTTTTATAGTTATCTAAAAAAAATCACTTTTTATTTCATTTTTTTACCTTTTTGTATAAAAATGGACAATAAAACTTTATTAAATAATCACGAATACTTGCACTCTTCAAAAACGAATTCTTATCGTCGACGTTTTAATAAACTTAATGATAAGTCTGAAAATGGCAAAAATTCACAAAGAAAATATCGTTCTCCTCCACCAAGACATGCACACCACCAACCAGTGATGAAATTCAATAGTGACATGTGGATGCAGGTTGAATTCTTTTATTTAATTGAATTTCAATTTTTAATGAAAATTTCATCAATAATGAAGATTATTAATTGAATTTCTCAGGACTATAGACAAACCCTCATTGAAAAATTATTTAAAGAAGAACGTTTTAAGGCCTTTCAAAAACGACGAGGGTTGGAAAATTTTATGGATGTTAGTGACGATGAAGACTGGCCAGAACAACAAAATGTAAAATATCAAAGATATATCTCTAATATTTACCATTACCATTATAAATTTCGGGATTTCTGACTTTTTTTTTTTTTTTTAATTTTATTAGATATATATCGCAACAACCCCTCATGTATAGTATCCACTCATTGGCTGTGACGCAGTTATTCATCGAAAAAAAAAAGCCACTGATTCATTTTCTTTTACTTAAAGCTAATACAATCCATAGTTCAAAATTCGACAGAAGACCAACAATTACAAACGCAACAACAGATTTTAATCAATAATCTGACCACAGAAACTAAATTAAAATGGTTTCAATACAGAGAGAGGCCTGAACTTTAAATATTATAATATTTCAAGAAACGTGAAATATATAATACGGAATTTTTTGGAAACTCAAATTTATATTTTTTTATTATTCTCTTCCGTTTTCTTTTTTTTCGTTTATTCATGTTTTTTCCTCTTTCCTGTATATCGTTATTTTATTTGTGTTTTATTCTTTTTTATAATAAAGATTGCAGAACGCATTTTGTACATACTATTCGTTAAATGAAGGTATTTTTATATTTGTTATATTTGTTATTGTGATATAAGAATGAACAAACGAAAATTCAAAATATTCGAATATCTTGATAATGTGGCTTTGAACAATTTTACGGATCTCGATTACTTCTATTTACTAAATTAGAAATATTTTTAAATATTTTGAAATGTGAATTAAAATAACATAATGATAGCATGTAACATGTTTCACGGTGGCTATAGGATTATGTCGCGTTTATTATAATAAATACAGCCACAAAACGACAAAGGAGCCCAAGAAAACTAGAAATAAGTAATAAAAATGGCTAAGCGTTATGCAAAGCCCCTTCTTTAAATCAAACGATAATGACCAATTTAAAATAGAATTCATAACAAATAATTGTAAATTTTTTTTAATTCTTTTCTTTCATTTCCACCCCAAATTTATTTATTTTATTTATTATTTACCCAATTTTATTTTAATTTTAAAATTTTCGATTTATAATCAAGAATTAAATTTGTTTCTTCATGTAACTTATATGTAGAAATGGACCAAAAATGTTGTTACTGGTGTGTTAATTAGGATAGAAGGTCTTTATTTAAATAATTAAATAAATGGGAACTCAACTTTTTTTTTTTTTTTTATAATTTATTATTATTATTATTATTATAGTATTAGCTTACGAGTTGGAACAATTCTTATATCTCTTGTCGTTCTTATCACAAGCGTTATGGGAGCCTATACATCATTTGTATATGTTGATGGTAAGTTTTAATACGTAAATCTATCAACGTGAAAGACGAGAATTTCAATAATTTTTCATCAAAATATATTTTTATAGATACCACGAATTTTTCAGCTGGTCTTGGATATGTTAATGGTGTCTGGCATGTAATCAAAGGGATTACATGTATTGGTGGTATATATGGTGCAATCACGGTAATTTAAATGGAAAATATAATATATATATATATCAAGTATAACAGATTCTTACAGATATTGTTTTTAAAATGATTAGAAAAATGTAAAATTAGTCCATCTTCTTGCAGTGGTAATTACTGCGACCGCAATGATTCATTTAGTCTTTGGTACTGGGCTCATTGTTTTAGGGATCAAAAATCAAGATGGACTTGTAGATCTTTGTCTTCAAGGAAATTCAACTCAAAATATGTTTCCAAAAAACAACAACAATTCTACTGTCTCAGATGAGGATTATTGTGAAAGTATTGTAAATTTGTATCTCTCAATTTTTATTACTATAACCATAATTTCAGTTGTACTTACGGTATGTGAATTTTAATTTATATATACAATATATAAACGATATATAAGATTTTTTAGTACATATACAGTATATTATGTATATTATGTATATTATATTTTATTTATATTTTTTAAATACTGATTTTTTTTTTCTTCAAGTTTTACTTTGCCACTGTCGCATACCGTTATCGAGATGAACTTGATGAAGAACGAAAAGAAAAATTGAAATCTGAAGATAGACCTAGTGATCATCCTCCAAGAGGAATTTCTACTGATGTTTAATATTTTTTCGACTTTTTTTTTTCTAGTTTCATGTATAATATAATATGTTTTCATTTTTGTGTACAAAGATAAGAGACAATTTTTTCATGATTTTTTAATGGACTATAATAAAATTCCCAATTAATCAATCTTTTATTACAATCAGCCCAATTAAATCAATTAAATCTTATTTATCAAAAAATATATAAATAGCTTTCAAAAATAACATTTTCAAATTTATCAACATCTAATTCTTTTTTATCTCATGTCGAACTCGAACGACGAAAGCACAACTGTAATCGACGATGATTTACAGTAATTATTATTGCTTAAAATTATTTGAAAATATAAAAATTTCTTTTCTTCGTTTCTTCGAACGATATCCATATATCTATATTATATATCTATAATACATATCTATAATATATATATATATTAAACTTTTTTTATTTGACAGTTTATCCGCACATGCATTATCTGCTTTGAATGAATTTATTTCTGAACAACAAGAACGAGAAATGAAATTCGAAAAATTAAGGCAACGTTCCTTAGATTCGATTCAAAAATATTTGAATTCAGAACATGAGGATCCTAGCTTGAAAGAAGAAGAAGAAAAAGAAAAAGAGAATGACAAAGAAAAAGAAAAAGAGAATGACAAAGAAAAAGAAAAAGAGAAAGAGGATAGAATAGATACTCAAATTAACATTGATTTTTTCAAAGAAAATTGGCAGGTTCGATTAAATAATTATCTGAATTATTTAATTATCTAGAATTATTCTGTTAATTTTTAATATTTATTATTATTTCAGTTAAGTCAATTTTGGGTAAATTTATTACATTTCATTTTTTTTTTAATTAATTAACAGTAATTAAATGTCAAAAATTTAAGAATAATAATAATTATGTATTTCTCAATTCTCAATTCTCAATTCTCAATTCTCAATTCTCAATTCTCAATTCTCAATTCTCAATTCTCAATTCTCAATTCTCAATTCTCAATTCTCAATTCTCAATTCTCAATTCTCAATTCTCAATTCTCAATTCTCAATTCTCAATTCTCAATTCTCAATTCTCAATTCTCAATTCTCAATTCTCAATTCTCAATTCTCAA